CGGCTTTCACATAGATCACATCAGCCAGCTGGCACTTGATGAGACTGGAAAAACTAATGTGGGTAAAAAACTTACATTGGAGAAAGAAATCATTCAGCTGGTTCCAAATCGGCCGTTTACAATGAATTTTGAGCTTAATTTTGCATTAATATGGAAATTGCCTGTTGGAAAACTACTGAAAAGAAAAATTAAATCAGTTGAACCAAGTTTTTTAAGGACCAGTAACTTGCTCAGTTATGTTACTTTTATTTCAATTTTTTACGACTACTTGTCATGAAGTTTGACTTACAATTATTGCGATTACACTTTTTTAGCCCGACACCGCTATCGCTGCCCTAAAGGAACTAACCTCTATGATCAAAAAGTTCATCGAAACCAACGACCGCCTTAAGGATAAGAAAATGCGAGTAACTTAATGTTGTTTTTGCTCCAAATGCCTTCAGCCTTCATACTGAGAGGAGATTTTCTACCATTAAATTTGAAATATTCTTATATTTTTAGAGTACTATCCTCTTCACATCGAGACATTGGTGAAGTACACGCGAAGGCTCGGGAAACCGGCGATCTTCACTATGTCGTCGATGACTCTTTCGCCAAGCTTTCAACAGAGAAATGCTCGAAGGGAGTAGCTGTCTGTGCACACGACACTTTATCAGAATCGAATGCAAGACACCAGGTAGCGCATTGAACGCATAGACTTTGGCATGCTTTAAAAAATTTGCAGTACTGAGCATTTAACTTCTATATATTCCTTCATTTTACTACTTTTCTCCATTCAGGCTGATTCATACATACCATACTGGCAATTTTCCAACGCTGACAACAGTCGACTTGCGTCTCGTTTTGATCCAGAAACTGCGAATCTCCTAAACTTCTTGCAGGTTTGCATGCGCTTGTTTCGGCTTGAAATTCACTGACAGTTCATCCCTATTCCAGTTAACTCTTCCTGGAGCAATGTCAGTTTACTACGGTCAAGAACTTGGTCTAAAAGACGTGGGTACACCTCCAAGCCCTCGCGGCATCATGCAGTGGACAGCGTCTGGAAAGGATCATCATGGCTTTCTTTCCTCCAACGAAGCTAATATTGGAAAGTTGTTCTTTGGGGAGAGTGACGATGCCAAGGAGGAGGATAACTTCGAGGTGAGCGGGATTACAAACGTGACCTTGTCCTTTTCATTATTTCCCTTAATTCTCCTCCGCTTGGCTTAGTTTATCTTTTTTTAGACACAATACGCTCAAGAGAATTCCCAGCTTAAAGTATACCAAAAACTTGCAAGAATGCGACAGCGTGACGAGGCACTCATTCTTGGAAGCACAGTAAAAGACGAGCTCATAG